TGTGTGTCTTGCAGTACTATTGATGTATTGTTTGCTTATTGAAGTATCAATGTGGCCTTCTTCAACTTGTCTGTTTTGAGCTCACCTGGCACAAAGTGCCTGTTGAGCTTATTGTATGGTGTGTTGTCTGTCTTCCATCGTCCTGGTCCATGATCATAAGTCAACGTTTTCTTTGAATATAATTTCTTCTTAAGAACTCGAGGACCTAGCTATAAGGCAATGATATTTGGCCAGTAAGTACCTGGGACAGAGTGCCATAAACTTTCCTCAAATAAATGACCTTGATCTACTTTCAAGGTCACAGGGGTCAAATATGGTGTTTTTTTTAAACAACATCTTCTGAATAACAAAGAGGCCAGCTAGAGCAATGATATTTGGCCAGTGTGTACCTTGAAAGGAGTGCTATAGTGTTTCCTCAAATAAATGACTGACGTACTTTCAAGGTCATAGGGCCAGGGTCAAATATGTAAAAACCTTTGAGCAACTTCTTCTAAAAAACTAAGACAAATATGGTGATGATACTTTGCCAGGACTGAGTGCTACAAATTTTCCTCAAATAAATGACCTTGGCATTCTTCCCATTACACAAGATCACTGCAGGCATCAGATCTATAAAAGACATTTAAAACAACCTCCTCTGATCAATAACCAGGAGGCCTAGGACAATGATATTTGGACAGTATGTATCTATCATGGAGTACTACTAGTGCTGGAAGGTTTCTCCAAATACATGACCTTGACTTACTTCCATGGTCAGAGGGGTCAAATATGTAAAAACCTTTTTAACAACTTCAGCATTATCAGGACTCGTGCTGGGATAGAGAAGTATGAAGTTTGTCATCCGTACATCAACAATTTCTTCAAGCAACTTCTTCTTCTTAACCACTGATTGGAATTTAACTAAATTTGACTGGAAGCATCCCTAGGTGGTTGGGTTTCAAAAGTGTACAAATGGAGGGGCTGACCCCCCCAGGGAGTGGAGGGGAAAGGCCATAAAGGGGCAATTCGGTTATATATAAGCGACTTTTTCTCTGGAAATAAAGAGACAGATGCAACAATATTTGGTTGGAAGCATCCCCAGGTTGTGGTGATTCAAAGTTGTAAAAATGATGGGGGTTGACACCCCAGGGAGCTGAGGGGCATGGCCAAAAAAGGTCATTTGGTAATGTGCCAGGCGATGGATATCAACTATATTTTGTTGTAAGCATTCCTAGGTTGTGGGGATTAACAAGTGTTTTGCAAATGGACGGGCTGACAATACAACCCCTCAAAGATATGAATGCACATGTTCTTCCAGGATGGCCCTGGGGTCTTGCCCCACCCTTGGAGACTTAGTTCCTGGGTCATAACTTTGAAACGGTTGAGATACCCACCTCAAAACTAATATACAATTGCTGGGCATAAATTAAAGAGACAAATACAATCATGATATTAGAGTTGACCCTGGGGTCTGGCCACAACCCTAGGGACCTAGTTTCTGAGTCACAACTTGGAAACAGTTGAGATCCCCACCCCATAATCATGCATACAAATGCTGGGCATGAATAATCTAATACAGATATGCTACAAGGATTGGCCTTGGGTTCTGCCCCTTCCTCCGGGATATTATTTGGAGAATATTATGCAATGATTGCTTAGATACCTGGTGAACAATAAGGCCCTCTGGGCCCCTTGTTGACACATGCGTTAGTAACGCAGGTGTCTAGGAGATCTAGTATACTGTAATGTCTGCTTAACGTAGAAATGTGCTTTTGATGGTCACTCCACCTGGTGTCTGAATTTTGAATTCATGAAAAATAAATATGCATACATGTATGCTTTCACCACGCAATGTAGCATTACTTTTCATTCATAAATAATAGTGACATCATTTTGGGTAGTTATTGTGTTATGTGTGAAATCAGACTAAAAACTGACAGTGTTGTCGGTCGACAGCCTGGTACTGTACATGTTTACTCCTCACGGAAAGGCCCGGATATTGAGCTATTTCGGTCGTAGCTATTTTTATCACCCGCTTTCCCAAAAGATAAAACTGACCACACTGGATGTTGGCTCCAGGTTGGGTCATGTAAAATTTTGTTGGGAGATATATATTTTTTCAGTAGCAACTTGATTTTCATGTTGTCATTTGACTTAATAAATTTATATAGCCCCTTTAAAGCATCAATCAAACATGTGTCTGGAGAACATTTACTTTCAGTACTTCGATTTGGTCAAAGATACAATATTGTCTTGAATCATTGACCAGAGGGGTTGAATGATATATAATTACATATACCACAAGGACCTTGTCAGAGGGGTTGTGATATGTATGTACCCCACCAGGACCTGGTCAGAGGGGTTGTGTGATATATAAGTAGGTACTCCAGCAGGACCTGGTCAGAGGGGTTGTGTGATATATAATTAGGTACCCAAGCAGGACCTGGTCAGAGGGGTTGAGTGATATATAATTAGGTACCCAAGCAGGACCTGGTCAGAGGGGTTGTGGGATATATAATTAGGTACCCCAGCAGGACCTGGTCAGAGGGGGTTGTGGGATATATAATTAGGTACCCCACCAGGACCTGGTCAGAGGGGGTTGTGTGATATTTAATTAGGTACCCAAGCAGGACCTGGTCAGAGGGGTTGTGGGATATATAATTAGGTACCCCAGCAGGACCTGGTCAGAGGGGGTTGTGTGATATATAATTAGGAACCCCACCAGGACCTGGTCAGAGGGGTTGGGTGATATATAATTAGGTACCCCAGCAGGACCTGGTCAGAGGCGTTGTGTGAGATATAATTAGGTCCCCCACCAGGACCTGGTCAGAGGGGGTTGTGTGATATTTAATTAGGTACCCAAGCAGGACCTGGTCAGAGGGGTTGTGGGATATATAATAAGGTACCCCAGCAGGACCTGGTCAGAGGGGTTGTGTCATATATAATTAGGTTCCCCACCCCTGACCTGGTCAGAGGGGTTGTGTGATATATAATAAGGTACCCCACCAGGACCTGGTCAGAGGGGTTGTGTGATATATAAGTAGGTACCCCAGCAGGACCTGGTCAGAGGGGTTGGGTGATATATAATTAGGTACCCCAGCAGGACCTGGTCAGAGGGGGTTGTGTGATATATAATTAGGCACCCAAGCAGGACCTGGTCAGAGGGGTTGTGTGGTATATAATTAGGTACCCAAGCAGGACCTGGTCAGAGGGGTTGAGTGATATATAATTAGGTACCCAAGCAGGACCTGGGCAGAGGGGTTGTGTGATATATAATTAGGTACCCCATCAGGTCCTGGTCAGAGGGGTTGTGTGATATATAAGTAGGTACTCCAGCAGGACCTTGTCAGAGGGGTTGTGTGATATATAATTAGGTACCCCAGCAGGACCTGGTCAGAGGCGTTGTGTGAGATATAATTAGGTCCCCCACCAGGACCTGGTCAGAGGGGGTTGTGTGATATTTAATTAGGTACCCAAGCAGGACCTGGTCAGAGGGGTTGTGGGATATATAATTAGGTACCCCAGCAGGACCTGGTCAGAGGCGTTGTGTGAGATATAATTAGGTCCCCCACCAGGACCTGGTCAGAGGGGGTTGTGTGATATTTAATTAGGTACCCAAGCAGGACCTGGTCAGAGGGGTTGTGGGATATATAATTAGGTACCCCAGCAGGACCTGGTCAGAGGGGGTTGTGTGATATATAATTAGGCACCCAAGCAGGACCTGGTCAGAGGGGTTGTGTGGTATATAATTAGGTACCCAAGCAGGACCTGGTCAGAGGGGTTGTGTCATATATAATTAGGTACCCCACCCCTGACCTGGTCAGAGGGGTTGTGTGATATATAATAAGGTACCCCACCAGGACCTGGTCAGAGGGGTTATGTGATATATAATTAGGTACCCCACCCCGGACCTGGTTAGAGGGGTCATGATATGTACATATACGTACCCCACCAGGACCTGGTCATGATCAGAGGGGTTGTGATATGTACGTACCCCAACAGGACATGGTCAGAGGGGTTTTGTTATTTGTACAGTATGTACATGTACAGGACCTGGTCAGAGGGGTTGTGTGATATGTATGTACATTTACAATACCCCATGCCACCAGGACCTAGTCAGAGGAGTTGTGTGATATGTAATTACATGTACAGTACCCCACCAGGACCTAGTCAGAGGGGTTGTGTGATATGTATGTACATGTACCGTCCCCCACCAGGACCTAGTCAGAGGGGTTGTGGGATATGTATGTACATGTACAGCACCCCACCAGGACCTAGTCAGAGGGGGTGTGTGATATGTATGTACATGTACAGTACGCCACAAGGACCTAGTCAGAGGGGTTGTGTGATATGTATGGACATGTACAGTACCCCACAAGGACCTAGTCAGAGGGGTTGTGTGATATGTATCTACATGTACAGTACCCCACCAGGCCCTAGTCAGAGGGGTTGTGTGATATGTATCTACATGTACAGTACCCCACCAGGCCCTAGTCAGAGGGGTTGTGTGATATGTATGTACATGTACAGTATACCCCACCAGGACCTAGTCAGAGGGGGTGTGATATGTACAGTACCTGACCTGGTCAGAGGAGTTGTGACATGAATGCATTACAGTACTGTTGCATATATATTTTGAGCAAGTTGCTGTTGATTGGTCTTCCGAGGTCAGAAAATATTTACATCATTCTGAAAGCAAATAATACAATCTTTGTATCTTTAACATCTACATGAGCATATGAATTTGTGTGAAATAAAATAAAATCCAAGAAGGGGAATTCAGCTTATGCTCAAGGTTTGTCAATGCAACGTATTTTCAATCAGAAGTTGCAAAAGTTTGTTTGAAAAAAACCACTGGATGAAATTATTATCTGTACTTGAAATAATCTATTATAAGACCCAATTATGTATCGGTATATGTAGAATTTTATATATTTAATACATGTATATATACATGTACATTGTTTGTGACATAAATTTTATTATTTGTTACTAATGTACACTTTTTCCATATTATACAGGTGCATATAAGAAGGATGCAACAATATCAGAGACACACAGGCAGACAGATATTGAGGAACAATATGAGGTGACATCAGCAACATTTTACCATGATCGTGCGAAAAGGGAAACAACTCTACATAAGGTTTGTTAATACTGCTTACCAATAATGTCATATTTTCATTTCTTGAAATTAAACAGTGTTTAAGTGTTTTGAGTTAGGATGGTTTTTGTTTTTTAATTTGAATAAATATTCTTCTAATCTTCTTCACTGACTTTGAATAGAAGGTTTTTCCTAAAGAAATTTGTAAAGTAAAGGGGTGCAAACATTTAGTTTTTCTTTTTAAAAGTGACTAAAATATATACGGTATAGTAGTTGTTGTATTTATACTAATGCAAACATCACACATGGAGTTTATAATTAAAATAGTTTCATGCATTAATGTAGATTAAATTGTTAACTTATAAGGGTTTTATATCTTAGCTTTAATCAATGAGAGATATTATGTGTGGTTATCACGGTAATGCCCTGATCGGTATTAGCAGCCTTAGGGTGTTTACCATCAGATCTGTTCCTATTTGTGTTACACGACAAAGGTTTCAAACCATTTCCTGGCCATACATGTACATCACCTGTAACTTTGTGTAAATGTTATGGGATGTTAACCCTGGTCCTATGTCTGTATCAGTGAGGGTTGCTACAGGGCTTGTGATACAATGATATAAACACTGATTGATTTAAAAAGAAGCTGGCTAGGTGTGCACGCTGCTTCAGAGATGTTTGATTTTTTTACAGTAGATCAATACAAATGATGACAATTATCCTGTTAGGGGAAGGTGTCCATTGGCTGTAGGCGGTTGACATCGGACGTAGCTTTCATGATTCCATTGGTTGCTTGATCAATAAAAGTACCACATACAATGTAAATATAACCCAGGTGTATGAAAAATGAACTAGACACCCCTCTACGTATGCAAGGCACATGCGACCCATATATATATATATATATATATGGGGCAAAGAAGTAATTCCAACAGTGTGGACATATATATATAAAACCTGTGTGGATGCACTTGGTGACCTTTACTATTAAAATGACATGACAATCAGATGACAGCATTATTTTATGATGTCACAATCAAAAGCCAATCAACTGTTTATGAATTTAAAATCTGGAAATAAAATATTATATAAAAGGAGTGAAGTACCCACAAACACATGTGCATGTTAAACAGTTATAGCGGAACTGGTCTGGGTGACATTTACCATTGACCAAGATCTTTGGTTGGTATAGCGGTAATAGAGAGTTTGTCAGTGACATCATTTGGGACACGCACAGACATGCTGGCAAATCCTTATATCCCCTTAATGACTAGGATGAATTCAACAATATACTTGGACATTTAATATATAAATAAAAATCTGAAATGCAATTTCTAAAATTCAATACAGGCAAATATATTTTGAAAGACGCAACTTTGAAGGTTTTTGGTTGGTTATAGCAGTTACAGAGAAGTATGGTTTTCTAGAGCTTGAGTATGTCCTATTTTTAGGGCTAGTGGTAGTTATATAATGTTAAACATTGCGATTTAACCAATCTGTTACAGTAGCCCATGGTTAGTTATATACAGTAGTGACACCAAAATTAAATTTAATGGAAAACAAAGTGAAATTATGTTTGTGATTAATCAATTACCAGTACCAAATATTATTATCAGCCTCAGGAAATACGAAACCCTTTAGGGTCATACCATCCCGTATACCCTGCCAAAAATCTGTGTAACAAATTTATTACCCCTTTGAGTCTTTTATAATAAAACTAAGAAAAATAACAAAAACGTTTTGCCATTTTGTAATCAGGGAAGCAGACGATGAATGCGAGTCGTCTCCCGTTGCCCAGCTGCAAGATACAAAGACACGTGACCCGTATACCCCTTGTAAAATCACGTGATTCCACCGTATTACTGCTGAGTATCGAATCACGTGACATGACGGTATACCCCCTGAGATTTACGAATGTGGTTTGGTACACTGTAGTTTTTAACCAATCAGATTCCTAGATTTTTCTCAAAGGGGTAATAATACACATGATGGGTTGCTCTTCAATAGGCAACCGCTTTGCTTCACAATGGCATTGTTCTTATGGACACTCGTTGTCACACAATAACGGAACAATTACTTTGATATAATACTTTTGTGGATTATTTTTAATAATATTCTTGAATTTCAAAGTCTGTTTGATTAATACAGTACAGGACATTTAAAATAGTGTAACGCTATTATCAACATTTGATTTATATTTTGAGAAAGAGTTAACTTTTACGTTTTACCTTCCCTCAATAACACCCTGAGAACACTGTATATATCTGCTGTGGATTACATGGTAAAGTAATATAGTAATGTTCACTGATACCAAGACCAACTGTCTGCTGGTATCAGGTATGGGTTGTAGAGCTGGTGATGGAAGCAGATCAGTGGTGGCAGCCAGTGTGGGAGGAGATTCATTGATTTTGCCGTTTTGCTGACGCTTGGATAGTTTGCTACAAGGTGCATGTTAGGCTACCTGTATGGTGACAGTTTCATTATTGTGTGTTATTGTTCTAGTATGTAAGTTTAACACATTGGCTACATTTTTAAACAGTTTATATTGATTCTGTACATGTGTAGAAATTGCTGAACTAAAATGTTTTTGATAATACAGTTGTCAATCACAATCTGAATATTATGGCCTCATGGCCTTCTTTAAGGGTAAAAGTCAACACTGAATCTAAGTAACGCCCATCTTGCTTTTTCCAAAGAGGAGGAAATGATGCACAAATATTGGGCGTCACAATGAATCGTTGAACTTATGACATCATAATACTGTGACAACAGAATTACAAGACATCAATTCAGAGCAATTACCAGATAAGTCTCCCAATAGCACACTACGATTTTTAGAGAGGACATAACTAGCAATAGGAAGATATGTGATATTTTATATATATAAGATTCCTCAACACATTTGAACATAAGCAAAAAATCTTTGCCTGGATATAAAAAAACACATGTAAGAAAGTAATTAGCTAAAGATCACACAATCTAATTATCTCCTTAATATGTAGCCACTATACACTCTAAATTAGCTGAGGGATTTTCTTATCTCTTTCTCTCACACAACTTAAACCAAGCAAATCAAAAACCTAGACAACTAAGTGTAGATTTAATTGCTTAATCTCATAAAAGACTTTTTTTCTGACTATAATCAAATCTGGGTTGAAAATTACAGGATTTCATTGGAGTTGATAGGTAGATTAACAGAGCTGTAGCTTCCTTGTTATTTAGACTTTGGATCTGTAGATGAATATCAAAAAGAGCAAGCAAGCTTTGTCTAGAACATAAAAAGACATCACCCAGAACAACTAAGCATTGTCCAGATCCTAAAAAACAACTGCCATGCTTTGTCAAGAACCTACAATCATTACCATTATAAATGAAGGCGTGGACAGAACCTACAAATGTTCCTTAACATATATAATCAAGCCTTGGCCAAGAATCTACAAATATTACTAATATATAGACCAGACCCCGTATTCATGAAACCGTACTCGTGCTCAAGTATGGATTTTGTGCTCAAGCCTTATTTCTTGTTCTGATTAGAAGTTAATATACACTTCTTATTTTGTCAACGATTTTTTATTTTCTATTAAGGAGACTTAAAGCCAAATACTGTTTTCAATGTTTACATTTGATTTTTTGACCGTTTGACATGATTTAAGTGTGTTAAAAGAAAGTTAGTTTGAGCACAGAATCCATGCTTGAGCATGAGAACAGTTTCATGAATACGGGCCCAGACCTTGGTAGAACCATCAAACATGATACCAGCTAGGGCCTGTATACATGTATGAAATCGTTCTCATGCTCAAGCATGGATTTTGTGCTCAACCCTAATTCATTGTTCCAGTTATAACTTAATAATAAAATCTCATTTTGCCAATAATTTGAAGAAAAAAATGAAGAGGCTTAAAGCTGAGTGCTGTTTTCAATGTTTACATCTGACTTTTTGCTGTTTGACATGATTTAAGTGAGTTGCAAGAAAGCTGGTCTGAGCACAGAATCCATGCTCGAGTATAAGAATGGTTTCATGATTACAGGCCAAGTCCTTGTCTATAAACCTACAAATATTACCAGGATACACAAAGCCTTAGTGAGAACCATCAGACACCACCACAACATAACCAAGGCCTTGTCTATAAACCTACAAATATTACTAGGATACACAAAGCCTTGGTGAGAACCATCAGACAACACCACAACATAACCAAGGCCTTGTCTATAAGCCTACAAATATTACCAGGATACACAAAGCCTTGGTGAGAACCATCAGACACCACCACAACGTAACCAAGGCCTTGTCTATAAACCTACAAATATTACTAGGATACACAAAGCCTTGGCGAGAACCATCAGACAACACCACAACATAACAAAGGCCTTGTCTATAAGCCTACAAATATTACCAGGTTAAACAAAGCCTTGGTGAGAACCATCAGACACAACCACAACATAACCAAGGCCTTGTCTATAAGCCTACAAATATTACCAGGATACACAAAGCCTTAGTGAGAACCATCAGACACCACCACACCATAACCAAGGCCTTGTCTATAAACCTACAAATATTACTAGGATACACAAAGCCTTAGTGAGAACCATCAGACCCCACCACAACATAACCAAGGCCTTGTCTAGAACCTAAAAATATAACCAGGATAATCAAAGCCTTGGTGAGAACCATCAGACACCACCACACCACCACAACATAACCAAGGCCTTGTCCATAAACCTACAAATATTACCATGATACACAAAGCCTTGGTGAGAACCATCAGACGCCACCACAACATAACCAAGGCCTTGTCTATAAGCCTCCAAATATTACCAGGATCCACAAAGCCTTGGTGAGAACCATCAGACAACACCACGACATAACCAAGGCCTTGTCTATAAGCCTACAAATATTACCAGGATAAACAAACCCTTGGTGAGAACCATCAGACACCACCACAACATTACCAAGGCCTTGTCTATAAACCTACAAATATTACTAGGATACACAAAGCCTTAGTGAGAACCATCAGACCCCACCACAACATAACCAAGGC